TATCTAAATGCCACTAATTGAAAATTAATTAATTATTCACAGAATAAAAAATGTCACACATACTATTCTCCCATGGAGTAAATTACAAACAGATAAGTTTGTTATCAAATTTTATGAGAATCCTTTATCATTAATTGAATCAAAAAAATGAATGTAAGATGAATACAGAGTTTTCAATTTGTAAACTTTATGGAATCTAGAAATACGTTAACTGAGCATTTAACTTATATCATTCAATTCACTGTCTTACCATATATTTATTATGTTAGACTAAAGTTGAGAGCCTGTGTATTCAAAAGAATGTTAGACAGTTACTCATATCAGCTTACCAGTTAAAGTAATTTACATCAACTCCACTAACACACGATTTCTCGTTGCCAGTGGCTAGGGTAGATCTACAGAAGTGTTGGAGTAGGTTGGAAAAAAGCAAGGGGAGACCAAACCAAAACATGGCACAAATCCATGAAATCAGTAACAACTGGATTTAATCATGGTGGTAGGTGTGGACTACGTGGTTGGGTTACGCGAGACGATAGTAACCGATGATTAGAGACCTTGAATGACATGGCTTAAAATCGTTTGCAACGGCGCAGGTGTATCCACTCATTGTGTTTCTTCAAATTCTAGTCCTGTGAATTACTCATCACCTCAATCTTTTTCTTTTTAAATTTATTCCATTGAGTTATACTTCTTGAATTATTTCTTCGAACCCTATAATCACTACTACTATGGGATTCGAACTGATAATTGCGTCCCTGTGCTAATGTGATATGGCAACCTGAGCTTATGTACGTACGTACGAAGCTCTACATTGTAACTGACTGACACCATACGGTTTATTTCTTAAGTAAACCTTTTGGTTCAGAGTCCTTCATAAAATTTCCGCTCTTGTTATTCAACAAATACTGAATACAACATAAGTATGTGGAAGAGTAGAGACAATCCATGAGAAGCGCTCAAGTTAGCCAAAAAATAGGAGAAATAGTGCAGAGCTGTGGAAAGCACGCTTTTGACTGACAGATAAGTATGTTTGTTTTATAGTTCACGATTAAACTGAAGCATGATGTTATAATTGCATTTCTGAATTGAACTACTTGTGATCCAAATGACTGTATAACCCATGTGCTTAAAGGAACCAGCCGTATCGTGTTCCGACTGAATTAACTATTTTGCGAATAGCCGGTGGAAAAGCACTTTTCGATATAACACTTGCATATATGTGTAGTGACATAATCTATTTCATTTCACTGTGATTATTGACTCAAATTGTCCTGATTGGTTTAACATTTTCATGTAAATATCCATGTATATTAGAGCAAAGCCTGATGACGATCTAATCGAAAACAGTATTGTTCGCTTATATGTGTTGTTCTAATTTTCACAATGGGAATCTTTAATATATGGTTGTGTGATCGATTATTTTTAGATAGCTAACAACATATTAATGTAGTTTCCTGTGCTTTACGCTCTTGTCCCAGTATTGTTAATTTGGGGATGTCGTCTTAGTTCAGTCAAACTGAGAAATAGCACAATAAAATATCCTATGTTTATCAACGGCACGGAATAGAAAAGACAATGACTTAGAGTAAATAGTAACAGTTATTGTGATATATGCAAAAATCTATCAGGTGAGACGAAAGAGCATTCAATTTTAAAGTAACAATATGTACACAGCGAAAACCACAGCATCTTTTAGTGATTAGACCAGAGGTTGTGAGAAGATAAGTTCAATATGTGGTAAACATTCACTTCCTTTTATGTTGTAAAAACTATCCTAAAACAGTGGAACAAATACAGAGGAAAAGTCAGCTCAATGATATAGAACTTGAAGATATCAAACAAGATTTCAGTTGATGGAGTTTCACTACTTCATCGATTGATCTGTCATCCCTATCTAGTACTCGTTTCCTATAGCACTATAGCACTACTTACTCGGCTGTCCTAAGATATACGAGCAATGCTCGGAAGAAATCTATGATCGAATACTGATGGCCTACAAATGTCCTCTACTCTTACTGGCCATGTTTCGCATCCATATAGTAGGACGGAGTGAACTGCTGCTCAGTACATTCGGCCTTTGGTTAGCAAACGGATATCTCGCTTGCGCCACAAGTGACGCAAGTTGGAGAAAGCCAATCGAGCCATCTGTATCCGTGTTGAGATTTCGTCACAAACCAGGCCATCAGGACTGATGAGACTCCCGAGATAAGTAAAACGGTCTACATGCTCAACTGCTTCACTCCCTATCACTAGTTCAGGTACCGATTCAGCACAAACTCGAAGCAAAAATTTGCATTTCGAGGACGAGAACCGCATCGCAAACATGCTTGCATTGTTGCTTAGGGCGGTCAGAAGATTCTGCGTTTTGTCAGTATCTCCATCGAATACAACTATGTCATCGGTATATTCTACGTCGACAAGCGTGTCTCCTGGTCGAAGGTCTACCCCTGATAAGTCTGACGAGGATAATGCTAACTCTAAAAGCATATCTAAGACAAAAGAGAGAGTGAATAGCCCTGATGGACATTACCTGAAGTAATCAATTCTGATGACAGTTCGCCATAAGCTGTTACACGACCAGTGATTTTCGAGTAGAGAACCTGTTTAAGGTTAATGTACTTCCTTGGGACACCTTTCAATGACAGACACTGACACAGAAACTCACGATAAACATAGTCGAATGCCGCCCTAAGGTCGAGAAATTTTACTATTCTGGGGCGTCTGAACGTGTGCCTGTGTTCTAGGAACTGACGTAGAGTGAATATTTGGTCCACACACCCACGTTCAGGTCGAAAACCAGCCTGGTTTTCTCTCGTCCGCTCTTCAAAAGCTTTCGTTAGGCGTCGGAGGATTACTGAGGCCAATATTTTAGATACTATATTAGTTAGACTTATTCCTCTGTGGTTGACACAAGAGGACTTTGTCCTTTCTTATAGACTGGGACAATCAGCGATTGAGACCAGTTAGATGGGATTACGCCCAGTTCCCAGATTCTACCTAAGATCTCAGTCAATCTAACAGCTAAAACTGGACCACCATCCTTAAAAGTCTCAGGGGTAAGCCTATCAGGACCCACTGCTCCACCTCGCTTCAGATCTCCTATACCTTATGCAACTTCATAAAGGATCAGACAACTTACATCGATTTGCCATTCGGGATGACTGGAGATCGTGGGCAACCGAAGTATTGCTGATGTCAAGTTGAACTGATACCTAAAATACTCTGCCCATCGATCCAATATCCTAGCTTGACAATGAATAATAGTCCCATCCTTTTCCGAGATAGTCTTACTCACATTCGGGTTCCTAATACTGGTTTCCTTGATAACTCTGATTAGGTGTCTACTTTTGCCTATCGCCACTGCCTTTTCCATCGCCTTTGCTTTCGGCACCCACCACTGTTCGCGATCATTGTGTAGGCTTTTTATCAGCCTGTGACTTCGCTCAGAGCCAGGAGTTTACGAGCGTCTGACAGTTCGGTGGATGCTACTGAGATCCATGGCTACTTCCTAGCCTCATGGTATATCTTACTAACAGATATCACTACTGTTTCATCGTTCTCCAATCGACCTGCCTGGCATGGTAGAACTTTCAGGAACATATGTTCCAGCCAATATAGCTCGGTTGGTTCATCACGTTAGGCAAGTCCGACCACCATGTCAAGGTAACAGCTATGTTCGGACATGACTCAAAATCGTTTGCAATAGCGTAGGCGTATCCACTCTTTGTATTCTACCGAATTCCTCATGACCTTCACCCTTCTTTTTAAATTTATTTTACTGGACTATACTTTTAGAATAACATCTTCAAACCCAAACCCTCTCGATTGCCGCTCATTTTCCTACTACATCTACTACTATGGGATTCGGATCGACAATTGCGTCTCTGTGCTAATGTGGTATGGCAACTTGAACTGATGTACGTACGTACGAAATTATATGTTGTTGCTGACTGACCAGACTGATATAGAGCTTTTCAGACTTCTTGAACCCTAACCTCTCCGATTACTTCTAATACTTTTACTACCTCTACTACTATGGGATTTCAATTGACAACCATATCTCTGTGCTAATGTGGTATGGCAACTTGAACTGATGAACTTACGTGCAAAGTTCTACGTTGTTGTTCGTGATGATATAGAGCTTTAGATTATTTTGTCACGTTTGTTATTTCGATTCCATATTTTCTCAAGTGGTATACTGTATATCTGGGTTTTTCTACTACCTCTACTAGTGTTATTACCTCTAATACTTCAGGATTGACCTTGAAAACTGTCTCACTATGCTAATGTGTTGTAACAGCTTGCACTGATGCATGTACTAGGTCATACGCTGACTGACCAAAGTTTACTAAACTTTGCTAGGCTGGTAAAATTTCTTTGTTTGTAGAGCATTAGATTGGTAGGTCTGAAGCCTATAACCACATTTAAGCAGACGATGAAGAAAGTTTGGTAAAATCAGAGTTCAGAAAACTTATTGAGTAGAAAACAAACATTCAAACAGAAAAGCTATTTTGAGAAAAGCTCATTATCAGAGCTTTTGGTATTGTGGACAAGATTCTAAGGCATACAAAAACTGCGTTTAAAGTAACAATTCAGAGTAATTACAAAACCTCAAGTCGTACGACAAGTTGGATTGAACGAATTGAAGACGCGAACAATTTTCAGTGTATCATATGATTTTTTTATTCGAGAGTACAATAACAATGTATAGAGAATTTATCAGGAAGCCATGTTGGTAGGTTCGGTCTTATCTCCTACCTGCCAAAAATACTGGAAGTGCATTTTTCAGCAAGATTTACGACAGCTGGAAGCAGACTAAAATGACGGAATTAAGTAAAGGTTCAACCTCATAGTATTTCAATAACCGACAAGCTCTATGAAGAAATAGTATCCCTAAACTTGGAAATAACTGATTTGACTAATGTTGATAAACACCAATACTCAATTATATGTCTAAAGATTAGTGACAAGCAGTAATTGTGGTGACCAGATAATGATATATTGTGCATAATCCAGTTTACCTAATTACAAAACTCATGACTACAGATTTACTAAAAATGGCCAGTTTTGCGCTCACATAAATGTATAAGACCTATAGTCAGTGGTGGTTTTGAAGTTACTGTCTGACAAATACCAAGAACTAAGAGGCAAGACGGATAAAACAGAACACTATCAAAAACAATAAAATGGTTGGATTTCATTTCAAAATTGGGAGAGTTATTAACACACGTGGTTTCTAGAAATGAATCTTACATTACTTCAACAAAGATGGTGACTAAGAAGACCGGTATCTTATTTTGATCCGATGATACCTGATATTTTAAGAAGACGACATAGAGTTTTTTAAAGTCGAAATATCTCAACAGAGTAATCCTTAAGACCACACAACCAAGTTAGTGAAAGTTGCATATACATTTTGGTAACCAACACATACAGGGCGTAAATGAATAGCAGTTAATAGATGTTCTAGTGATATCCTGTTATCCTGGCGCGATAATTGGGACATGATCCTGGTGACTATACAGAAAGCTTCACGGTGAGTAACACCTCTATTAGGGCAAAATGCAAACAAAAAATTGTCAAGAGAAAAAGTAGTACGGATTTAATGTACATAAAATACATCGTGGAGTATATATTTATATCCAAGGAGCAATTTACAAGTCCAGTTTCGATGAATACTTTATAGGTTGACGGCTGGGCAATAGTTTACCGACTCAATAGTCAGAATTACGATTTGAAAAAAGAAATAAGTTTGAAGCACTGTTTGTAAGTGGTTTGAATATTGTGATCGCACAAAATGGGACAATGGTATATCACGGGCATTTCAAAAGGGAAAATTCAGCTACGGCATCCTCGATTTGATGTTCGGAAGAAGAGAATTGCTCATTTTCTTCGTTGACAAGTTCAGTGCAATCTTGCAACTCCTTATCTCTTTTGTTAGATTCTGAATGAGTTTTCAATTCATTACGGAAAGTCGTAGCATGATTATTTAGTAAATTTAGACTTCGTTCAATCATTGCTTTGTTTCTCTTCCTATTCGCCTTTGAAACTGACGGCTTACGGCGTCGAGGACGTTTAGCACCCATGACCTTGAACTCAGGTTAAGCGCCACCCTAAGTTCGTCCTCAATAGTGAGGAAAAGAGAACAGGTAAAATATATTAATCGTTGCAATTTATAGTACTGTGAAGATCTAGCCTCACGTTGACTGTTTCAATGGTAAGTGATGAGTTCATGTGTTCTGGTAAAGTAGTTCACTAATTAAAAACTAGATTCAGGAAACAAAGCTCCAAACGTAAATGAATCTCATTAAGTTTTAGTAATCAGAATATTACCTTTATCGACCCGTGTTGATTCTTGCAGAATGATTATAGCGGAGATTCAGATCTTCTTTGAAAGTTTCCACTGGTGGGGCTGATACTACTTGTTCCGGTAAGTCGTTCCTATAATCAACCGATCAATGTGAGAAATGGAATCACAATACGACTTGATTGCTATCTTTTTAACCAGTTTGTAGTGGCCTTGAGATAATTGGTTCCGTAGGGAGAAAAATAGGACGTATGAACAACCAGATTGTAATTCAAGATACTGAAAGACTTAATACGTTCACCTGGCGTTCCACAGGAAGATAATATGAAAAGACTTAGGCACTTATGCAACCATAGTAAAGGAGTCAGAAGTGATCCCTCTTGTCTTTTTGTATAGGAATACAGTCGCTTTGTCCTATCTTATGTCAACTGATTTTCGTGAATAATGAAGCTCCCTGCTATGGTCTTTTTATAAATATTCCATGTACACAGCAGCAAACAAGCAAGTGAATAGTAGCTGATAGGTGAAAATATGTGGGAGATCTAGCAATGATAATGGAAGTAGCCGTGACGGAAGTAAACAGGAGACAGCTATACGATGCAAAAAAGAATCTCGCTGGAAAGCATAGTAATCCAGGACGACTAGTCAAGAACAAAGATGGCGAACCAATTGTCATGTTCCGTAAACAGTTAAACCTCTGGAACGTTTGGACAGACTAGCACCACTGAACCCTCAGATTATTGAAGCAGCACCTGCAGACCTTTGAAATGACGTCGATCCACTAGCGATTGAATAAATTATTATGGGTACCCAGTATCTTAATATTGGCAAAATAGGAGGACCACGTATAACATTAGCTGCGGCTCTGAAATCAGACAAAACAGAGAAGATGCTTCACTCCCGTTCAGTAACACTCGGGATAAACAACAAGTACTAACAAACTGAGAAGAAGGATACTGATAAACTGAGCTAATGGGAAGTGACTCAATGAAAAAGTCATTGGATGACCAGGAAACGTCGTGAGTTATGAATACATTTCAGCAGTGAGGAAATTGCTTTGTTTTCCTGGAAGATTAAAACAAAATATTCGGTAATGAAACAGACTTCCTCTTTCTGTTCCTAAACTTTTCCTCAGTGTAGCCATTTAGAGCCTACTGCTTTCAAATATCTACACCGCGTACCACAACAGATTCTGACAACGGGCTGTTAGTCACAATGTAAGTATAAATAAGGTCAGAACGGTAATCTCAGCAGATCAGCCTAAATCGGTTTCTCATCAGCAGCAAAAAGAATTACAAGCATCTGAACTGAAAATATTCGAATTGACGACACAACAGTTTTTAACTCAAGAAAAGTAGGTCAAATGTTCGAGTTAAGAGGTTTAACTACTGCACTATCGACAGATTCAATGCGCGATTTCATTTTGACCCTGATACAGTCATGAAATTCAGGAAATACGAATACCTTGACACACATTTATTTTCCTCATAACCAAAACTCTTAAAAAGAATTTTTCTTCGGAAACACGGAACAGCTGAAAATGAGTAGTATTCAAGACATATCTTGCCTGAAAAGCCTAAAGATTTTTATTTCCATTCTGCTGTACGAACAGAATTCCTCAACCACAGTCGGAGAAGTTTGGCCTTATTTTCTTAACTATTTTTTAAGTTAGTAGATAATCGAATTGTTACATTTTTATATCTCCCTTAGTGGAAGATTCCAGCAGATCTATTAAGTGCTACTATACATTTTACTGTTACTTATTTAATACTAAGTGACCGTGTTTTTCTTGCTTAGCCTTAAATTGTTAAATGTAATTGCATCAAAATGATCACGTCAGTAAAATGCCGTGTACTTCCAGCTTCAGAAATATAACACTATCATCACTTTATGTGTAGTGAACAAAGGTGACTTTAGGAGAACTGAAGCTTCCAGTTTTACATTTGAACAGTATCTATTGACCCAGTGAGGACCCATGTTTTTCAAGTTAAAACTGAATAGAATTCTATTCAACCTGAAAAACTTAATGCTACTTAGGAGAGAGATAGATAAATAAAACGTAACACTGAGTTTAATGTAGCTTAAACAAGTAAAAAGATAATAATATGGAAGCAAGATGTGAGTGAATTTTCGACGAATCATTGCAACCGAGAACTTCATTAGGAAGCCGCACAAGCTTATTCAGTCTTTTATGTTCTGTACTTGAGTAACGCTAAACCACTGTACAAATGACAACCCCGAACGTTAGACTCCCACAGTCCAAATATAAGATGACGGAAGACGTGGGAGAACACTTATTAACAGAATCAAAAATATACAATCAAACATGCGTATTTATACAATTATACATATAATCGATATTGTCGTTTAAATATTTAAACATTATTCAAATAGTTCATCGATCGACTTTCCTTAAAATTTAAGCAATTTAATCGATTAGTTCATCAGTCCACTATGTGCGTGGCTTTCCTCTCGATTGGCTATTCCAACATTGGCATTTTAGAGGGAAGGCTATTCCAATTCAGGGTATATTAATGAGGAAGAATCTTTCTCTAGTTTTGGATCTATACTTCCCAAGTTTAACCGAAGATACTTTATCTGGAAGGTTACGTGTACATAGGCCTTGGACTAGACTACAAGGTATGCATATGACCCAGTGCAGGAGTTCGCAGTAAAGGGGTAGATCTGACTTAAGCCTTCTTTTCCGTGGTCGTCCAAGCCCAAGTTCATGACATCGAGTTAAATAGTTAGTGATTTAAGACTATAATTTAGGACTTTTCGAGTAAAATTTAAATGTATTCCTTCAACCTTCGATATAACAGATAGGCGTCTTTAGCAGTAGGTCTTACGCAAGTTTTGTAGAGAATCATTCTGGATTCTCTCTGAAGGAAGTTACGGAAGATGAAACCGAGCAGCCATGACGACAGGCTAGCTCTTCAGAAGAATCTGACGAGAATTCAAGGTTGGAAAAAAAACCACGGATTAACTTTTAATATTTTGTAGATCAAAGTAGTCCACTGAGACACTCTGTACACTGCGCACACAGCTTAGGTGACCCCTTCCCATAAGTATCATCGGTTTTCAAGGATCTAGAAGTATTGGTGCCCTATGACCTAACCATGATGAAAATGCATATCCAGGAAAGCCTGCAGTATTACCATTTAAGTGTATATTTGATCGCTTTGATAATAGAGCATCCCATTTATTTTGTAACATTTTGTATTCCTCCCATTTAGTGTATGAAAATCTAGTGATCCTTCCCTCACCTTGAAACGATGAGAATACAGTAGAACGTGTCGAAAGGTGAGTCACGAAATCGATTTGAGGACTCAAGTTCAAACGTTATGTCGAGCGTCTCAAATCACTGAATCTTCGTCCGTTATAGTACAGGAGTTTCGGAAGTGATCTAATGACTTGAGATTCTATGCACTCGTGAGCATGCCCTAAAATACGTACCTAAGGTCACTCTGAAACGAAATCCTAAAATAACCTTGAAACTAAGGACGTGATGTATCAAATTGAACTGCGGGCACACTTTTTAATCCTTGCCAATTCTGGAATTTGGAAATCCGTTACCGGCTGTAAAAGCGAGATTCTAAGAACCCTTCCAGAAGAAAATCGACAGCGATCCATCATGATTTACCACTACTTCCCTGAACATACCTAGGTTCCTACACGGAGGCATCGGTGATCTATTGCGGCTATATATAGAAGCCTGTTAAGCCAATGATCCTTCAATCTCATAGATAATCTTATGACTAATTTGGACCCTCCTCTAGACTTTCTACAAAGGATAAATGGGAACAAAATCTTTATGATCACCACAAGGCCTTACCTCAAGGAAGTTGGTGACGAGACCCTAAAGAAAACGTCAATCCTTTCGGCGCCTCTGGATAAATCCTGTAAGTGTGACTAATTTCTGAGGATGGAAACGTGATGTGGTGAACCAGTCAGAGAAGCCCATTGAGCGATGAGTCCAGATTATTGGTTAAGAAATATCAATGACTTTTTGGCGCGATAAAAATTGGGAACAGAAGCAGACAGATGCAGAATGCTGGGAATGAAATAAAGATGGGATGAGCCTCTAAAATTTCCTACACAGAATAGTGTATTGGATTCTCTGCAACTCCCCATTTCTTCAGGAGTGCGTCGTTCAAGGTCTCGTCGTCGTATTTACTTATCGAGAATTGCATTATTACAGTCATAGTATGTGGTTTGTTTGGGTGTTTTGTAAGTCAGCAGAGGAGTTCTCTTCTAAGTGGGTGGCTTTTAGCCGGTAGATGTTGAACTATTAGTCACTGTCGTTGTTTTTTAGTTCATAATAACGAGCTTTTAAGTGTTCTTTGTATACAGTACCGAGTGATTAGCATATCGAGTTGCAACATACGAAAGGGTATGTACTGAGTCTTAAGGTGGGTTGGAAGGATACATCAGTTGACTGAGGTAGAGTAGGAACAGGTTCAAATAGACGCACAGTTTAGGTTCATTTTCATTAGGTAAGATGAAAGACCTTCGAGCCGTAAACGAGTTCGGCTGCAGTGCGTTCAACTTCCACTTTGACTGCGCTGCGAATTCCTAGTAACACAAGTTGGAGAGCATCTATTCACTGTGATACGTTCGAAGCTGAAACCGAGTATTTCAACTGTTGATGGAATCGTTCTACCTAACAGTGAGCCTATGAATAGTAGGTGGTCGTTCGGAGTAACTTGATGTCTAGAAGTGTAGGGAAACAGTGGAAATGTCCAGAATGGAACTAGCGTCCATGGTCTCCAGCAACCCACTGTTGGACAAAGGCGCGAACAGCTATCATTATTGTCCTTTATATGTGCTGCATCTGGTCATTCTGTCCCACGATCCATATAGGAGGTAAGTGCATAATTTAAATCTGTTGAGGACCTCATCAAATCAGGACAAACGTGAATGAAGCGAACACAGAGCATTGAGAAGGCACCTAAGGGATATTTTCTAATGTCTAACCGGGTCATATTTCCAGGAGCTTACACAGGAAGGTGCCCGCTCCTTCATGTCTTTGTGTATATCAGGTCAGCAAAATCGTTTTGCTATCAGCCTGATACTTACTGGAACACCTGTTTCGTCCTTAGCCATTGATGTGTCGCGAACCAAAGTTGATTTACCTATTCCTATCTGTTTGATTCATAGTTTCACAGTTGTGGAAGTTAACTGGTGTTGAAAATTAGTATCGTCTTTTTGATTACTTGAAAACAATGTAAAGAAGTTATATGAGTCTGTAACTGTATTGCTTGTTTTATATCTAAAGTAGGCTGCGAGATGTAGTTCAGTTGTCGAGACTGCTGAAGAGACTTAATTCCTAACACTCTACAGTGTCGAAAGCGTTGTGCAGCACAATATTAAGCTACAAGTCCCTTGCTGATAGATCCAAATGCTGTGAATGAGATTTTCATTCGATACATGGGATTGTAAAGTCATCAACATCAAGATACGTAAAGTCGAAAACCGTGAGAAGTTATCAATGAATCTCTGAAAAATTTAGGCAGCATTTCTTGATATATGCGAAAATTCACACGTTTGAAAGGAAGTGACGATAGCCGTCCCAGGAATGTCTTCTCCAGCCACTGGAATCTCATAATATGCCTTGACCAGGACATTAGCATCATCTAGCTAAGCTGGCAAGTCGTAAATGTGCTCTGATGGGTAATGATAGACTGTGGCTTCCTTGTTAAGTTGTTGGTAACCACTAGCTGGACGCTAGTCACTGCTGTCCTTTTACTGATCGTAAGCAATGGAGATGCTTATGGACTGTTTGCTGTTCAAATAATTAGTGAACCCGTCAGATGAATGAGTCAGTTCCTGGCCAACTTCGGCTCTTCGAAGCGTACTTTCGAAAGTACAGGTAGCCATGTAGTCGTGAGGTGATATGCAACATTATTGACTGCATACGATAAATGCGGGTAAGTTTTGTAAATATTCGGATATTAGACCAATATTGGTTGGAGGAACGGATTAATTTTATGTTTAACAGTAGGTGGGCATAACGTACGATCAGAAAATGAAACTCTCGAAACCGATAACGTGGTAATATTTTCTACTAACCTCCGTTTGCTTGGATCGACGAGTAGGTTTTCCGGTAATAATATTTCGTAAAGGGAAAAAGCACAGTTCAGAAAACTAGTTCGTGCTCTGAATCAAGCGATCATCCAAATTTTTCTTATCTGTGACCTTCCGCATACGGAACAGCATTACTGTACCTCAGCCGTACTGCACTGGTTTAACCTTTCCAATAGGTAACGTTCCAGAACATTACTAGTAAACTTACCTGACATCATGCACCAGTTGAAGTCGAGCTACTATGTCTTCAGGAGTGTGTTGAAAAATGAAAGTGCGCCTGTTACGCAGTATCTGTGGAAGTCAAACAGCGCGTAGCCGAACTAGGCTAAGATGTTATCAGGCCAGAACTATATGAGGTGGAGGACAGGGTGCGGATGAGCCAATTTTAAACAGCCTAAGTGAATTTTGATATAGTGAGAACAGAATGTGTATTACTGTGAGGAAGGAAATCTAAAAACGGAAATAGTACCAAGGTGTATAAATTGTACGAATATGACAAGGAATAGATCCATAAACTTTTGTTGACGGTAGCAGATCACGAAGCGCTTGCTAGTGAGAATGTCATGGTTACTTGGGATTTGAAAACTTGTCTTTCCGTGACACCTTTCTAGTCGAGAAGATCGAAACACAGTCAGACCGAAATTTCAGGATGTAAAGGACTGAAAGTATGTGGGAAGGATAGCCTAGATGTACAGAAGTCAGATAACTAAGCTGGTTAATTTTTCAGAGGGATGCACTGAACGGCATATGCATAAGTGGTCTGGTGCGGATGTGTGACCAAGCATATTCAGCCTGGATGTGTTCAGCAAATAAATAAGGCCAAAATCAATGTCAAAGACTTTCCGAACTATTGGTTATGAAGATCTGTTTAACCTGTAACGTTTCTATTCGTGCATGACTTCCCTATTGTCATCATTTATCACACGCGAAAGTTCATTGGTCTCTCACCGGATAGAAAACACAGCCTTACACCTAAAATCGACCTAAACCAAACCCAAAAAGTAGTTTGCTGTCGAAATAATTCCTTAAGAAGAAACCTAGACAAAAACTGAGTTAAAATCATTCGAAATGACTGATAACTAATTAATAAGTAGGAAGATTTAACAAAAATTTCAAGAAGTAAACGACTACTTGAAACAATTTCTGAAAGCGAAACAGTTCAAAATTGAATTTCTTAAATATTACAGGTTAATTAATAAGTATAAAAAATTGAAATAAAACGATCTTTCAAATTTTTTTGTAACCATATATAAAAACCCAAAATAACGTTGTTTGGTTCGCTAATTTTTCTACGTAGTTTTGTATCCTTTACTTTCACGAAACTTTCAAATTACGCACCAGTTGTAAATTATTTGGCGCCTTTTACCAGGATCAGCTGTCTAAGTTAAAATGGCGCACCCAGATGGTTATGATAAACTAACAAAGGATTTTGATAGCTTTTGGCTAAAATTTTATAAAAGCAATTATCTGTCGCCAAATTTTCAAAGATTGCCTAGGTGCTGGAATGTCAAGGATCGCTCACGATCATTAAGACTATCTCATTTCTCGCTTACCGTGTCTTTCAGTAGCGGATTTAATGAGCGTCATGGTCTTTCAAAATTTGAAATAGTTTATTTTCATTTTTAGACAGTAGTTATAGCGGTCAGGATGCAGCCTGTGTCCGTTCAGATGCATCTATTCCACTGACGACTGGGATATACTATTTCGAAATAACGTTCCTAAATAAGGGTACTAATGGGTAATTAATTATCAACCCTAATACCTGTGTTTCTCCTAGTTGTGTTTCTGTTGGGGTTTCGATGAAGACTTCCAGCCTCAACAAGTTTCCGGGTATGTCAGCCGTTTACTTACGTTTTTGTTCAATTTAGCGTGGTATTATACTTTGGTTCGGTTTTATCACTACTACTCGATAAAATTTACTAATTAACTGTCTCTTGTAGGTAGTCTTTTGGATAATAAAACTAAAAATTTCAAGTAATATCGTCTAACAGAACATTTTTCAACAATCGTTATCGGCTTCTGATTACATGCCTTGTAAAGAAATGGAATGTTGCTCTAGTTCGAAGCAAAATCAGATACCTTAAATTGTATCGCAAGAGCGTTTTGTATGCGGCTACTTCATCGCCTAGCATAACAAGCACTTCTCTTCCGGGTTATCCATTTACTAGGTTATTATCAGTTTCCTGTTCACTGACCTGTTTCGAGTGTCGTGTCGCAAACGTCACTTCAACTGACTTTCAAATCCTAATACATCAATATCTTGTGATTGGAAATAGCGTCACTTGAGTAAGGAAAACTTTTACTAACCCTCTGTATACGGCGTTTGCAACTGTTCGTAACAGAATCAGTTTGAAATAAAACTGTTGGGTTATGATTTGTCCTAGTTTTGTATAGATAATCCTATTTAATACCTCTTAAACAATTTCGGAAAATTTCGTCAAGTACATCAAGTTTTTAAATAAGAGTGAATCAAACAATATTCCCAGATGACGAAGGTTATAATGCATGAAAAAGACAGACTAAGTAAATTTGATAAAATATGACTTTCTATTGGGTTTTGATTTAAGACTGTATTTTCTGGCTAATTGTTGATAAAATCTCATAGATGTCTGAAAACCTAATATTAATATTGCACCCTTCTTCTCTTGGACCCTTTTCTCAATAATTTCTGGGCTTTATCAAAAAGTTGCGTCCCAAACTCCAAGTGACTCCTGAGCTTCTTAGTCTAACCAAAATTATTGATCTAATACTGTTTAAATTTTACTATCCTGCAATTTATCGGCCTAGATAAAATCATTAATTTAGTATAGCAAATCATAAGTGCACCTACAAATAGTAGTCCGAAATTCAGTTCAGGCTGTAATTGTTCTATTACTTGAAAAGAATTTTTTCCAGTCCTGCTCTCACACGACTCCTTGTCAATTGTTCTCTTTAATTTAGATTTATATATACTGTAAGTTTGTAAATCCACTTAGACATCGAATATAACCGTTAGCGAACGTCAAAGTAACTGATGATAATTTAATTTAATGTTTTACCGAACATATTAATATCATCGTTCCTACCCGATTCGATCTACAGTACCACCTGGTAGCGTAATAATGTCGGCATTGTTAGTATTATCGTAAGTCACGTTTTGCTTTGTATCCACTTTTTCTGTTTCTTATGACTTATTTACACAAGCTTGTATCACAAGATCCAAGGCTTACTGTACATATAGTAAAAAGCTGTTTCGCGATTTCTTCAGTTTACTTTTTTTTTCACTAAAAGTTGCCGCTTAATGAGTTTTCATTTTCCAGGTTCTGAAAACAATTCATTTGGCTATCAATCAGATGGTTGTGTTTATCATGGCTCACCCACATTGTCAACAAAGTTCGGTCCTCGCTTCAATGAAAACGATATTATTGGTTGTGGTGTTGATTTCCTCTCGCAAAGTTTGTTCTTTACTCGAAATGGCATATTTTTGGGTAAAGCCTTTGAAGGAAAAGTACCTGTAAGTTATGTATTAAAAATTGTCTAATCAATCCAAGTTTTTTAATTTTCACAATGTACTAAACTACATATGTAGCACAAAGTGAAAAACGTGAACTAGGTTTTAGATTTTTTTGTACAAATTATGAATCAAACGACAGACCTACTATTAATTTGTACAGTTACTACAATTTTCATCAACCGAACGAAAGGTCTACTAAAAGTAAATCCGAAAAAAGTAAAACTAAGTGTTTAGAGTGGTAGGTCGTTCGGGATGTCAATAAAGGTAAAGAGTATGCCCATCCGAAGTGCGATATCGTCCTGTGTCGGTTCATGGTAGCAAACCACCAAAACTACACAGCTATTAGTGCCGCCAAATTTTCGATGACTTAACTGAAGATATCAATTTTTTCCGAAACTTATTTTGAAACTAAAAAGCTCGTGTATCCTGGGACAACCGTATAAGCAATGCTGTCTTTAGGAAACGATTACTAGGTAAGGTTAGCAAATCACTAGATGAATTAGTGACGCTTCATCAGTTGAGGGTAGTTGGGACATCTATTATGTATGCCTAACCACCGACTGCCTCGACGAGCTATGTTTTTCAGCGTAGGAGTAGGTTGGAAGAAAGCTAGGGGCGGCCAGACCAAAACATGGCACAAATCCATGAAGTCACTGACAAGTGAACTGAGTCATGTTGGTAGATGTAGGCTACCTGGTTGGGGTTCGCGAGACGAAAGTCACCAATGGTTAGAGACCTTGAACGACATGGCTCAAAATCGTTTGCAATGGCGCAGGTGCACCCACTCTGTGTTCTCTCAAACTCTAACCTTCTGAATTCCTCATCATCTCTACCTTTCTCCTTCTAAATTTATCTTACTGAATTATACTTCTCGAATCATATCTTTGCTCCTTAATCTTCTCCATTACTGCTAATACTCCTATTATTGCTATCACTCTTGGATTTGAACTGACAGTTGCGTCTCTGTTTTGATAGGTCATGGCAACATGAACTGATGTACTTACATACGAAGTTCTGCGTTGTATCTGTTTGTCTTGAAACTAAAAATCTCTGCAAACTATATTAGTAAAAGATTGCATTAGTCAAAAGTATTTCGTTAACGAATGCGTATTTACCTCAGAGTTACCGATGAGGCCTACTGTTAGTGTTGTCTTCATTGCATCCGATCAATCTCTTGTATCTGATTTTCAAATTTTAATGGCGTCGGGAAAAAAGCGAGTAAAACTGCATAAATGTAGTGTAAGGTAGTATCAAAGGTTTTGTTCTCATATCGTCCAATTTATATGATACTGTATTAGAATCAGTAAAGCGTATTATGCATTACATGTGTATTGCACAGCCTTTCAAAACTAAGAAATTAAAGGAATATACACCCCAGTACAAATAATAGCTGACAAGTCAGTTTGAAATTGTGAATCAATCTTGTTTTTACCTGCAGCTGACTGTATTATAAGGTATTCACTTGTACAAATACCGATCTTAGCATCATTTTGTGTGTAATTTTTTTTCGAAGATTATCTATTTTAACATTTTTAGGTTGGTGCTGGTACACGTTTGTTCCCCACTATAGGGCTACAGGGTCGCGGAGTTAGAATAACTACCAATTTCGGGCAACAGCCTTTTTATTTTGCTTTTGAAAACCATCTTAAAACAGAACGCATATCTCATGAAAACAAACTTATTGAACGTACATGTAAAGAGGATTTTGCAGGAATAAAAATAAAAGAGTAAGTTGTTCCCATGTTATTTGATAAAATCCCACTGAATTTTCCATGACTAAGAATTAGTTGAAATGATTTAAAGGTAACGTTGCGCTGAATAATGCTAAAAAATTCTAATCTTACAAATATAAACATAGAATAAAACAGAAATAGTTTTCCCTTTATAAACCGGCGTAAAACCTTCGCAACGATCGCGAACAGTGTTGGGTAGAGAGAAAGAGGTGAAAAAGGCGACGGCAATAGGCGACAGTAGAAAACCGTTCAAACTTACCAAGGCAACTTGTATTGGAAACCCGACTATTGTTGGGGCTACCTCGTAAAAGGATGGGACTATTATTCATTCTCAACCCAAGAGATTGGATTAGTGAACAGAACATTTTAGGGAGTACTTCAACTGCCCTTCAGCCACACTTCGGATATCCATCATCTCTAGTCAACCCGAATGACAAGTTGATGTAAATCCTCCACCTCTTAATGAGGTTATAAAGGCTATAGCCAATGTGAGGCGAAGGAGAGCCACAAGCCCTGATAGATTAACCCATGAGATATTTAAGGATGGTGGTCCAGTTTTAGCAGTTAGATTGACCGAGATCTTAGCTAGAATCTGAGAACTGGGCGTAATCCTATCCGACTAATCTCATTCAGTCAGTCAGTTGCAACGTAGAACTTCGTACGTATGTACATAAGTTCATGTTGCCATACCACATTATTAGCACAGAGACGCAAATGTCAAATCCAATCCCATAGTGATAAAGATAGTAGAGGTATTAATGTTATAATAAAGAAGACTAGGGTTTAAGATATTATTCAAAAAATATAATTCAGTGAGATAAGGTTAGAAAGACAAAGGTAGATGTGCTGGCTAATCCAGAAGATTAGGATTTGAGAGAGCTCAAAGAGTGGATGCACCTGCGCCATTGCAAACGATTTTGAGCCATGTCGTTCAAGGTCTCTAACCATTGATGACTTTCGTCTCGCGGACCCCAACCAGGTAGTCTACATCTACCAACATGACTCAGTCCACTTGTCAATGACTTCATGGATTTGTGCCATGTTTTGGTATGGCCGCTCCTAACTTTCTTCCAACCTACTCCTACACCACAAAACATAGCTCGTCGAGGCAGTCAGTGGTTAGCCATACGTAACACATGTCCCAACCACCTCAACTGATGAAGCTTCACCACTTCATCGATTGATCTGCCATTCTTACCTAGTACCCGTTTCCTAACGACGGCATTGCTTACTCGGCTGTCCCACGATATACGAGCAATGCTTCTTAAACATCTATGATCGAATACTAGTAACCTACGAACATCTTCTACTCTTAACGGCCATGTTTCACAGCCATATAAGAGAACGGAACGAACTGCTGCGCAGTACACCCGTCCTTTGGTTAGCGAACGGATATCACGCCTACGCCATAAGTGACGCAGGTTGGCAAAAGCCAATCGAGCTTTCTGTATCCGAGCTGAGATTTCGTCAGTCACCAGGTCGTCAGCACTGATGAGACTCCCCAGATAAGTGAAGTGATCAACACGCTCGACTACTTCACTCCCTATCACTAGTTCAGGTGCCGAAGCAACCCAGTCTTGAAGCAACATTTTGCATTTCGAGGGGGAAAACCGCATCCCGAACATGCTCGCATTGTTGCTTATGGTAGTCAGAAGACTCTGCATTTTGTCAGCGTCTTCACCGAATAGAACTATGTCATCGGCATATTCTAGATCAGTAAGCGACTTTCCTGGTAGAAGGTCAACCCCTGAAAAATCTGACGAGCTTAATGTTAACTCTAAGAGGATGTCTACGACAAAGTTGAACAAGAATGGAGAGAGTGGACAGCCCTGACGGACACCACTTGATGTAGAGAATTCAGATGACAGTTCGCCATATGCGCTCACCCGACCAGTGGTTTTCGAGTAGAGTGCTTGTATAAGGTTAATGTACTTCTTTGGTACACCTTTCAATGACAGACACTGCCACAGAACCTCACGATCCACTGAGTCGAATGCCGCCTTAAGGTCCAGGAACACGACTATTGTCGGACGTCTAAATGTGTGTCTGTGTTCCAGGACCTGTCGTAGTGTGAAGATGTGGTCTATACAACCACGTCCAGGTCGAAAACCAACCTGCTCTTCGCGAGCTCTAGTTAGACGTCTAAGTATAATCGAGGCTAACAATTTAGAAACTATATTAGTTAAACTTATTCCCCTGTGATTGTCACAAGAGGACTTCTGTCCTTTCTTGTAGATTGGGACAATTAGCGACTAATCTCATTCGCTGATTGTTCTAGTCCTGGGACATAAGACACACATTTCGGCGTCTCCGTATGGTTTTCCTCCGTTTGCTATCCGAAGAACGAGTCCTACCTTACGAGTTTGAACTACACCAGTAGTTTACTATTATTTGATCATCCGTGTCTTACAAGTATCGCTCATATAACCTTAGACCACGGAGTAAGTAACATTGGGGTCAGGAAAAGGGTACCAAGTAAGGATGGCAGGCCAATTGATAAGAGAGTAAATCTCCATCAGTTGAGATGGTTGGGACATGTGTTACGTATGCCTAACCACCGAGTGCCTCGTTGAACTGTTCTGAGATGTAGGAATAGGTTGGACAAAAGCTAGGGGCGGCCATAGTAAAACATGGCAGAAATCCATGAAGTCACTGATAAGTGGACCGAGTCATGTTGGTAGATGCTGACTACCTGGTTGGGTTGCACGAGACGATAGTAACCGATGGCTAGAAACCTGCAATTGATAGTGTTCGATAAAGTACTCTCAATTTTTATTAGATATTAGATATTAGATTCTTACTAGTCTTTACCATTCAGTGGTCAAATATAACCACGTTCGGCATACGCATCAAACATAGAAAAGTGTAATACCATACTTACGAAACACCCACAAACATATTTTGTCAACGAACTGCAGAACTGACATTTTATTTACGCTAAATTGATTCTCATGAAGTGTATCAAGGTTTATCGGTTACCAGAGGTAATTCGTGGTACAATATGACAATTGTGGGTAGTGATGACATTCGACGACTCCAGGTTGGTTATCTTTAATCTCCTACTTAACTTGGATAATATTTATTTATAGTTTTGTGTATAAAAAATATCTATGTTCATTATGTATTATTTGAGAATACTCACATTCCAGCACCGGAGAGATAGTCTTCTGTGACTATATTACTGATAGGGATGATGATTTCACCGAGAGATGGTATGTAGCGACATTTCTAAAGCTCTTTCTGTATTTTACCATATGTTAACATTGTTTTTTAATGTATCATAGGCTTGTATCGGGATACCTTGTCCATCATGGTTACGTTGCAACAGCCAAAGCTTTTTCACATTGGTCCAATCTTGCATCTTCTGTTCAGAATTCCGAATTTCAAAAAGACCGAATACAACTTTTCAATGAAAACATATTGAGTCGGTCAAATGCAATATCTAGTTCGTCCGAGACAAATATTGATGGGAATTCGGATGTAACATGCAAAGAGTCTAATCCTCCTGTACTTCAGCGCCGCCATAGTGACAGTTCTTGTTTAGCCCCAGAAAATGCAAACTCTCATTTAGGTCAACTTCCTGGCATTGCAAGTATGCTACACAGAAGACGATTGCGAGCATTGTGCCGACGATGCCAATATGGAAGAGCTGCTGCCACATTAAATCGCTTCTATCCTCAAGTTCTTGAGCGGTGTCCAGAACTACTTGTTCAGCTTCGTTGTCGACAGCTAATTGAAATGGTATGTTTATGTATCTGCTTTTGAGTCAAACAATGTAGTTTGATCCATTTACATCAGCTTTAATGTCCTAAACTCATGGTTTCCACTATCCGATTTAAAAACTGGACTTTACTTGAAAACTCGAAGTATATGTTACAGATTTTTCCTATATGAAAGGGCATGTTTTGTTAATCCTAAAATTCTTTGGGACTTGTAGAAAATCGGAATCGTCTTACCAATTGGGTCGCAATTTTGTTAGACTTTAGTCACTTACATCAATCACAGAACAAGAAATTGTATAGTATTGGGGTCTAGTAGTGCTGAATTGGCACTATATAATCACATGTATTTGACTAGGGTTTTGCTAATGTTGCAACTCAGTAGCTTGAAACTTTATCAGACAGTTTAGAATAGAAGCCAGTTACTATCCCACAGTATTTTTCGATTTTTTCCGACAGTAAGATGTACTTTTAAGGTGAGTAAAATCTTTCGTTCATATTTTAATTGTATACTTCTACATGAACTCTTCCTGTGTTTATCAAGTGATATTCTACCTTCTTTCTATAAAATTGCTTCGTGTGATACATATCTTAGTGTCTTATCCTGTCGTACTGTTTTTGTATTATAAATAAACAAATAAATATCAATAGTATTGCGATGGGTTATTGTGTTACACTTTCTACACTTATTTCAATCGCTGTTATTTAACCTTTAATGTGATTTTGCAGTATCATTATTTATCGTTTGGTTGATGGTTATTCAACAGTTTTTTTTTAAAATGCTAATAACTGTCCTGACTGAAGGAGCTGTTCTAAACTACAGGGTATTTGACAGATATTTTTATCCTGGTTCATAGTGGTTTAACTATACATAATATTACTGTTTTGGTTAATGAACTACGGATAAACTTGCTTTCGATTCACTAGTCAATAAGTACTCAATTCAGTTTACTCTGATTTTCAAAAAGCTGAGATTCTCTTTTTAATAAATTATATCAACTATTAATTAATTCGCTGGAGACTTATTAAATATGTTCATTTTTGACGTGTAGTGAATAATTTTTATCAATAATTTTTGTCTAGATGCGTCGTCATGCTGTGAGACGTGGTCATAGTCATGCATCCAGCTCAGGAAGTGACTTAAACGATTCCAGTTCAACGACAGCCCCACCAAAAGTTCAGAGAGTGTCTGGGTCTCTTCATGTTGGCTCAGGGTGTTGTGTAACCAATAAACAAGATAATTTATCTCAAGATACTTCTAGTTCTGTTCAGATGGTATGTTTACTCTTATATACTTCTACTTATTGCATTGATCTTAAGACAAGCTTGACAGCGAAGAGTATTTTTTTACCAGAAAACATATTAAGTATATGTTCACTATAGCCAAAAATAGTTTTTCGTTAAAGATTAAAACTATTTAATTATCGCTGATCTACACAGAACATATTTCTCGTGTCATTTAAAGCACATTGCTTTAATTATTAATAATAACAGAAACGCTATTAATAAGAAAACATCACAATTTGTAGTAGCAATCCCTATTTATGGAAATTGTGTGTTTATACACCTATCATTCCAAGTCGCAGGTAACCTTAGTAAATAGTTAAACAAGATAGTTGAAATGTGAAAGATAATGTATTGTTAACAAGTTGTTGAAAATATGGCAGGAGATAATGGCATCTGCGTCATTGTAATCAATTTTGAAACATATGATCTGAGTTTTCCTATTAAAAAGCATTTGTCTTATACAATTCAGACCATCAGTCATTATCTATATTGTTTAACGCTATTATTTAACCATCCTTAATCTTGCCATCAGTTAGTCTTATTGAAGCCAAAATATCACGTTTAGGTAAGCCATGTCCAAACTTGTAGCTCACAAATCTAACTCTATTTTGCTATTATTGTTGTAGCTATCAGTACACAGTTGTCCTATGAAGTCGTTTGTGAAAGTGCGAAACACATCCAAAAGGTTACTGCATTATCACTAATGATGTTCTAACTACTACAATTTTCCAACATTCTTACTATCTGTAAAGTTTAATTTGATGGAGGGACTTTCAACTAGGAGACATCATTCTTAGTATAGGTCACAAAGATTGTTAGTCCACAGACATATTTACAACGAATTGGTAATACTGATCTATGCCTGATTTATTGCTTAATATAAATTAAGTAATCAGTTATTTGTCATTTCCTTTTGTCAAATATTTTTCCTCCTGTGAATATCTTTTCATGAAATCTTTAAACCCTTTGCCTTAGGTCGTTGAAAATGGCCTACCACCCTCATCAATGGATGTAGATCCAGAAGATGTACTTGAAGTGCCTTTTCCGAAGAATGAGGTTAAAGCAATGGAACAAAAAAGCAAAGTAGATCAGGATTGCAATATGCTTACAGAATTTGATGATGATTTGGAAACAGCTGATGTTGAAGATGAAGAGGATGATGACGGTTTTGGAGCTGATGATGATACAGGTGTGTGTATTGACACTCTCTTGCCTCATAATAATTCAAAAGTTAACCTGTCGGGTAATGAAACATTTTTACCTTCAGAAATGGGTGGCGATAGTGAAATTTCTTCTGTGGAATCAAGATCTAAGCCGAAAACAGATGTTTCTCTCACTAATTCCGAATTGGACAGTGATGATGAAATGCGATGCTTGCTAAGACATGTTCAATTTGGTCGATCGCTTGTGAACCTAGTTAGACAAGTTAGAGCAAAAACGGGTGGTTTATCCTTAGAAACCGAACGTTTATTACAAGTGAGTCTATTAATTCAAAATCTGTTCATTAAATTTTTTCTCTGTTTCATTATTGGTTCTACTCAACTATTCCAGCTTCTCACTTATTTCTTAAACTAATTTTTATTTCCATAGTAACCTATGCCTTTGTGATAGTCTTGGAAATACCAAACTCATGTCTGTACTTTTGATAGTTTCTTCCATATGATAGATTTGTTTAATGTAGAGTTTTTGTTTCTCTAAACATCCGACACTGCAAGCCCTGGGAAACAGACTCTGTACGTATTCGATATTCGTCCTTCATCGAGCTTTAGAACATTTCTATTCATATGAAATGCCGAATATAGTTGTATCCGGTTCCGTCGACAGACAGGTCCTGTGGCAGTGTTTCTCGTTCATTGACTTAGAAATATCCGGATGATATAGTCCTATTTGATTAAGATGCTTAAAGAATGCAGAATTTCCTAACCACATAGTGCAGCAATGGAAGCATGTTTAAGATATGTTTCTCTCCTTCTAAGTATGGTATTTTGTCCTAACACTGGTCTGCATCGTCTAGATTGATATCAGATAGCCAAGCAATTGAATTTATCGTTTGGTTGACTGTCTTGGGAGTTTCACCCTCTCTCTTATGTTGGTATCTGCCGAAACCTCAACATGAAGTCAGGAATCTCCATTGGGTTAGAACCATTCACATCATTTGACTCTGTTGATCGTCAGGATCTGTGGCAGTGTCTGTCATTGAAAGGTGTACCAAAGAAGTACTTTAACCTTGTACAGGCTCTCTAACAGGACACTTATCGTCGAGTCAGAGCTTCTGGCGAACTGTCATCGGAATTCATTACTTCAAGTGGTGTCCGTCAGGTTTGTCCACTTTCCCCATTCTTTTTTAACATTGTCACAGACATGCTTTTAGAGATATCATTATCTTCGTCTGAATTTTCAGGAGTAGACCTCCTACCAGGAGACTCTCCTATTGTTTTAGAATATGCTGATGACATTTTTATTTGTTGAAGACGCTGACAAACTGCATAGTCTTCTGCCCACCCTAAGCAACAATGCAAGCATGTTCGGGATGCGGTTTTCCCCGTCGAAATGCAAAATGTTGCTTCAAGATTGGGTTGAGTTGGCACCTGAACTTAGTGATAGGGAGTGAAGTAGTTGAATGTGTTGACTTCTTCACCTGTCTTGGGAGTTTTTTCAGTCCTGATGGCCTAGTGTCTGATGAAATCTCGGCACGTATACAGAAAGCTCGATTGGCTTTTGCCAACCTGCGTCACTTATGGCGTAGGATAGTTATCCGTTTGCTGACCAAAGGACGAGTGTACTGCGCAGCATTTCATTCCGTTCTACTTTATGGCTTTGAAACATGGCCAGTAAGAGTAGAAGATATTCGTAGGTTGCTTGTTTTCGATCATAGGTGTCTCCGAAGCATTGCTCGAGTATCGTGGGACAGCCGAGTAAGCAATGCTGTTGTTAGGAAACGGGTGCTAGGTAAGGATGGCAGGTCAGTAGATGAAGTAATGAAACTTCATCATTTGAGGTGGTTGGGACATGTATTGCGTATGCCTAACCACCGACTACCTCATCGAGCTATGCTTTGCGATGTTGAAATAAGTCGGACGAAAGCTAGGGGTGGCCAGACCAAAACATGGCAGAAATGGATGAAGTCACTGACAAGTGGACTGATTCATTTCGGTAGTAGTCGACTACCTGGTCTTGGTCTGCGAGACGAAAGTCACCGATGGTTAGAGATCCTGAATGTCATGGCTCAAAACCGTTTGCACTGGCACATGTGCATTCATTCTTTGTGTTCTCTCAAATCCTAAACTTCTAAATTCCTCATCACCTTTATCTTTTTCTTTCTAAATTCACCTCACTGAATTATACTTCTTGGATAACATCTTCCAAACCTAATCGTTTCGATCACTTCTAATACTTCAACTACCTCTACTACTATGGGGCTTGAATTGACAATTATATCTCTTTGCTTATGTGGTATGGCAACTTGAACTGATGTACTTATGTACGAAGTTCTACGTTGTAACTGACTGACTGAATTCACATCACTTATGGAGGAGATAATATACCCGTCTGCCAACCAAAGTGTGAGTACACAGCAGAGATTTCCTCTCTGTATTTCTATATAGCTGTGAAACATGCTCTTTGAAAGTAACAGATATGCGTTGGCTGCAGGGCTTTGATCATTAGTGTTTTCTAATCGTTGCTTGCAACTGAGTAAACAATGCTGAGGTTTAAGATAAGATACTGAGAGAAGATGGGAAATCGATTGGCCACGGGAATCTTCATTTGAGGTGGTTAGGATACAAGCTATATCTGTTCAACCACCTCCTACATTGACGTAATCTCAACCGTAAGTAAGTTTGAGGAAAGCTAGGGTCCGGCAAACCGAGATATGGCATTGATTCATGAAGTCATGAACTGTCGTACGAAGCTGTTTTTAGTAGTAGACCACCTAATTAGGATTTGCGCGATAATTTTGGTCAGTGGTTGGAAACGCTGTGGGACATGAAATAGATGCATGCACTCTTTATCTTTTAGGTTTTAGCACTCCATGTATACTTTTCCATCCTGTTTTTGCTGACTATATTCTTAATATTCAATCTTTTTCACTACATTATTTAGACTCATTTGCAGATGCAGCGATTCTTCTCTCAAATTCTAATCTTCTGAATTCCTCATGACTTACTTCCCCTTTTTAAACTTATTTCATGGGATTATACTTTCCGAATCATATCTCACGACCCTAATCTTTTTCATCTCTGCTAATACTTCTATTACCTCTACTACTATGAGACGTAAACTGACCATTACATCTCGCAGTGCTAATAGTGTGTGGCTGCTTGAACTGATGTACGTGCGAATACGTTCTTGCTAGGCCCCAAAAGTGACTAACTTATTCATCGGGATTTCTTTGTAACTGTTTAGAAAAGTGTTGGTATTTTTGAAAACATATGGCTACTAGGCTCAGAAGAGTTTACATTCTTCTTCTTTTTAATCATCTCTTAACTTAATTAAACTCTATACTGGCCAAATGAACACTTCCCATATCTTTTTTGAAGAAGTATCTATGGTTGGCGAAACATTATGTTTTAAACAAAAACGTTTTGTATTACTTGATAAACCATCTATAATAGAGTAAAAAAATGTTTTTCTTAAAATTATTATTTATTGAGGTAATTAAATATCAGTATAGATTAAAGTCTCTCTTCTATTTTATCAATCTCTATATAGTTGAATATGTAAAACGCTTAATATCGTAATATCGATTATCGAAATATCATTTACATATTGTTAGTTATACAATGACACAATTGTTTAGAATGTTATTTGAAAGAAATACTTAATTGGCTTTTCAGTTTTTCCTGTATACACTGATATGTTAATAACTTTTTTATCTTCGTTGAATAATCAAAAGGACAATCATATTTCATCATGATTTCATGTCACAAATGTGTGAATATTGTGATTTGCTAAAACCAAAAAAATTCATTTTGTAATTGTACTTTGTAAATAATTGTTATAAAAAAAAGGTGCTTGCACGTTTTCACAGCATCATATTTAATGTTTAACTAGAACGTAACTTAAATGTAACCTAAATTTGTAAGCATAATTTATCTCAAAGGTACGATTGTAAATCTAGTAGGCTAACATATCTCTACTTCACTTTTTATTCGTATCTTAGGATATTTCTTAACATATTTAATTGTCTATTGGATGATAAATACTTAGGATTTTTTATATAATGGAATTCAATGTTTATTGGTATGATTTCCAATTGTAGAGAATAGAAATGTTAAGCTTTACTGATAAATTACTAGAACATCTTATCTGTTGCATATGTTATATGATACTGTTCAAGAAAAAAATGATTCATGCAAAGTTTCGCAATCTAATAACATAACAATAAACAAACATAATAAGTTATCTATATTGAAGAAAAATCGAAGTTCATATATGTGCATTACTTCTTTTCACAGTAAACTTTTTAGATTAAGTTTAGTTTATACAGAATTACTTAATTTTTCTTTCTTTTATTATTGATGGCTACAACGTTTTCTAAAAAAAAAAATAAATGTCCGATGATAAGTACTCTTCTTACTGGATTTCTGTTTATAATGTGATTAGAATTATGTTGTCTATATTCATGAACTTACCACCCCATTGTATTTGTAACTAACTGCATTACCTACAAAAATTCATTATCAACCACTTTTTTCTCCATTGAAGATTAGTTTATCAAAATTTTCCTTTTTAATTAAGCTTACTAACACTTTTTTCGTTCAGTCTTAACACTACGTAAACAATATTGTAATTTATGGTCTTTAGACCACTCAGAACTTTTGTTTTTTTCCTAACAATTCACCACGTAACAGTATGTTCATTTTTGCACAAACATCATCACTATGAATTTCCTTATATGAAATTTTTTAAAAATGTTTTTGTTTAGCAATCTGTTAGTTTGTTGGCCTATCCATCACCTACATCAAATGATTGTCCTTTACGTGGTTTACTAGATCCAGTATGGCGAGATACAATAGCCAGTATTATTAACAGTGCTGTTTTAAGTAAGTATAACATTTTTATAACATTCATAATAAAAAAATATAAAGTGGTTAAGATAAGGATTATAGAGAATTTTCAATTTTAATTTTGTATTTATTGAAAACCAAGGAGTGTATTTCATCACTTCCGTTTTTGTGTAGGACTCATCAACCTCTCCCCACTCATCATACTACATGGCATCAAGCTCAAAACTTTTAAGCTATGATGACAATAATAACACGTTCAGATTATTGAGTTTAAATCCATTGGTCCTTATTTTCGACGAGAACTTTTTAAAATCTATTCCAGAGAAATTTACTAGCGCATATTGTATTGTTACTCAAGGAATGAGTGTTACGGATATTCGATCAGTACAAAAATTTTCATCTATGCCGGTCTAGTCGTATTCTATAAGTCTAACAGATTCGTGTATTAAGGCAGACCGTATTAAAATGAATTTTATCGTTACTATGATTATGGTCCGTGATGTCCTAGAAAATTAGCCAGGTTTCAGTTTGATTAAAAATTTATTCTTAAAGATGTTTGAGCATTTTTCACAATATTTTCGAAAATTTCGTGATACGTTTCATCACTGTTAACTGTAAAATCCCGCTTTATGCTAAGTGATTATTTCCCTTCATTTGTTCACCTTTCATAGAAGCTCATGATCTCCCAGCTCAACCAGCGCTCGAACACGGTCTTCGTGCACTGCAGCGTTGTTTCCAAGATAAGAACTTTGTCGAGGCTCAAACTCTTGGTCATTTTTTACTGTATCACTTAACACCCTCACAAATAGCAAAGGCAGACGAGGAAGTTGCAGCTTTAGAGGCTTCTGTAGAACATCAAAGTGGCAAGCGTTTGAGGTCCTCACCTTCACAATTAAATGGTGAACATATCAATGATCCTGATGACAATACTTCTTCTAGTTCTCGTAGCAATGAAATCAATGGTCATAATACAGTTCGACGTAGAGCTTGTCGTCGAAGACAAAGAAGAGTTGATGAGACTGTATCTGAAAGTCAGTCTTCTGAACATACTGATGAGTGCAACTCTTCAGTAGAGGAAGTTAATAAAGAAGATGATGAAGAGGAAGAAGATGAAGAAGGACGTTGTGGTTCTGACGATGATGATGATGATTTTGAAAACGATGATGATGAAGAGGATGGTTCATCTGCTGTTCCTTCTCGCCGACCTAACACACGTAGTAGGCAAACAGCATCAGTGGGGGCGCAAAGTGATAGTAGTTTTTCTGAAAGTAGAGGTTCAAATGGAGGTTCCTCTGGTCGAAATCATTCTAGTAATTCTTCAAATACTGCTTCACTTACATCTACTGACACTGTGACACCAAATATCCGCCTTGGTCGTCAGACCGATTTAGCTCGTTACCTCCCCTCATTTTTATATTCCAATCATGGAAGACTGGTAACATCCGTTTCAAGTTCTTCAGTTCCCACCCTTCATCGCCCAAGTGCTCCTAGTCGTCGTTTTACAACATTACCTACCTCTGCTCGTATTGACAATAATCAATCACGTAGATCCGAAACAGTAGACAGTCATTTTGATTCTGCTTTTCGTGGTCTATTATCAATGTCATATCCTCACCATGCTGAATTTCTTGCAGCTATGGATGATGCTTTAAAAGCATATGCTGGATCACTTTTATTCACTGAAGATGAACAAATTGCTGTATCTAATCCACAACATGAATATTTACAAGGAGATCCTCCATCGCCGACTGGTGGAGGTGCTTGTACCTAACAATTCAACTGGGAATATTCACTTTCAGGATTGTACATGATTTTCAAAGAGAGAGAGAACGAAAGCAATTATTGTTCAGTCCCCTTATATAGTTTATTACTTCTACAACAAACAAATAAAAACTATCATGAATCAACTCTATTTTTTGTCATAATATTTAACATTTAGTTACGGAATTCTGTTCTATAATATCACAGCTGTACAGAATATGAATACTTATACACAAACCTAGTCATACGCTATGTGGATTGGTATTCTATCCTCAAAGATAAAAGCTTAATTCATTTTTAACCCTATTAAGTTATCTGTTGACGATTCTTGATTTTTGCCATACTGTTATTGTGATTGATTCTATTTTGTGTTTTTTTCCTCTCTCTCTCTCTATTGTTTGTGGCTAACGTGTTAGTTATAATGCGCAGTTTTTTTTCTTATTCTTTCTCTCAATTTCTTAATCACTGACAAACGTCATTACTTACGACTCACTATAACTTCTATTTGTGATTTAGTTCAGTAGTTTTAAACGACCAATTATATATCGTGTTACAGTACTAGTAGTAGTTGTTGTATTTCTAGATGGAGATAGTCGATTTTTGTTATAGGATAAATCGATTGATGATAATATGACTGCCCGTTTTATTTCTTTTTCAATAAAAGAAATTCCTTTTTAGAATTGTTGTACTTCATGTTTTTGTTTTGCTTCACTTTTAGTTGTGTAACAAAAAAATCTATGGATATTAATTTGTCTTTGTGAAATGGAAGCAAATAACTCTTCCCCTCTCTATATATATATATATGTATGTTTAAGTGGTGTTGTTGTTATTACTGTTAACAATGCATTAAGTATAATAATGCGAAGAATGTCTGATTTTGCATAATTCATCTAAGAACGACAACAACAACCGAGATTTATTCTTCCTCTCGCCTCCTTTTCTCCCATGGTTTTTTTTCGTTTATTTTTTATTTTTGCCCTGAAAAAAAAACCAACATTTAAATAGAATGAAGAGGTGAATTGTAAAAAATGAATTTGACACTTTAATTTATGCCATGTAAACAACTGAAAATGGAAGTAGTTTTTAGTGGTTATTTTCTTCCACTTTTTCTTCATTATTTCCTCTTTGTTCTTGTTTGAATTCTTATTTATTTGCATTCTATCGATTTATTTTCTGGATTTAGTTATAAATATATATATTTATATATACATACAATACATTTTTTTCGTTTTAAATTCATATCACCATTTTATTGGTCTGTATTACTTGTTTTCTTCCTAATCATTCTTGTTGTTTATAAAATTAATAATGGTAATGACTCAATACTGATAGATGACATGATGAATACAAAGTGTTGTTCACCTAATAAATAGTCTTTTTACTTTGCATCAGTACATATTTTTAGTGAATGATTAGTGATATTTTTCATCCGAATGTTTGTGGTTCACATTTTAAGATAGACTTCAATGATTAGTTAACTAACTTTTGGCATTTGTATTGTCTGTCAGTAGAAAAGCGAGATGATGTAGTAGAGTTTACATTTGTTCAGTCGGTATTTATTCATTGTTTGAACAGTAATTTGTTATTGGACTTGAAACTGATCATGGAATTGATCACTACATTGACACATCTTCCCATTCAATTGGATTCATATTACAGGACAGTGTAACAAGTGGTCGGTTAGTTAAGATTGACTCTCTAGTAAAGCGACACTTATATACAAAACTATTCACGTCAAATAAACATGATGTCATTTATTAAGCATAATTGAATATCACATGCGGGTTTTTATAGGTCACATTCAATCACCGATCCATTTAGGACTTGACTAATATACCTTGTTCATACTCTTCATATATCAAATCTATTTTTCATTAACAAATAAATTTGTATGTGATTTACTGAATAATACAGTTCATCACTCTTGATATTCTAAATAGTTTAATGAGTAACTGTTATTGATGTGTTGTGCACTAGGTAAACGTAAACGTAGGTGGACTAAGTTACTTATTTTATGTATTTGCGTTCGATTCAATATCTCTTTCGTTTAGATATCGTTATAAATTTTACTTATATGTTAAATATGACAATAATTTCACTTGATATTGTATTGACTTGATAAATCGGTTGTTTTCTGTCTTGACTGAAGTTATTAGTCTAAAAATGATTTTATGTAAACTTAACAAATTCACGTTATCTGTAATTTACGTTTGTCATAATGAATTTGAAGAAACTACTAAAATTCTATGAAATGATGCAATGGTAGATATACAGTGTTTTGTATGTATGATAGAAGGTTAGAGGAAGTGGTTAGTGAGACTCTGTGAATACTTAACTTCTAAATGGCTTCTGTATCTTGTGATTATCCATTTTCAGTGCTGATATGATTGATGTTATTGACCACTCATTAAGTTGTCATGATCAATACTAATATCTCCACATGTAACATAATGTTAGAAATCATATGCAGAATATGGACGACGTCAGGTAATAGGAAGTTACCCACTGAATGTGATAGTAGTTAGTTGGGAAATATCATGGATTGATTGGTGTTAGACCTGTAAACCCGGATTCCGGTTTAGTAGTTTAGATGTTAAGCATTCACATACAAGAGTAAATGTTTTTGGTTCGATTCCTGGGTGCGTTACACACTTTCGGGATGTTTCAACAAAATCTTATTTTTAATACTAAGTGATTATCCGCGTGTTGATTTTAAATGATTGTTGCATTACATAGTGTAGTTAAGGTTTAGTATCATGAATTACTAGTCTTGAGTTTTTAAGTAATTATTTGTTGGGTAGTTGTTTTCTGAACAAAGTATGTCTGTACTCATCCATTGGTGATCATTTCGTATTAGTATTTTGTATATACAGTAATCCTTTTGATGGCCTTCAGTTTGTTTTCAAGTTGAAATGGTGTCCATTAAGTATCTGATTATGAAATAAGTTTCCGATTGGTTGTTTTTTTCTAAGTAGTCATTTAGTTTGTAGAAGATGAGTCTTATCTCTGTAACAGACTAAGTCAATTTTATCCCGTAAGGGTCTGTGGAAATGGTAGAATTTTGTACCTGTATATTGTTTACCGACTTAGGTTAAATGACGTTAAAATTACAAACTTACTTACTTACGCCTGTTACCCCCAATGGAGCATAGACCGCCCACCAGATTTCTCCAACCAACTCTGTCCTGGGCTTCCCTCTCCAGTTCTGTCCAATGTTTGTTCATTCCTCTCATGTCTTTCTCTATTTCTCGGCGTAATGTATTCCTTGGCCTTCCTCTTTTCCTTTTGCCTTGAGGGTTCCATGTGAGGGCTTGTCTCGTGACGCAGTTGGGTGCTTTTCGTAGTGTATGTCCTATCCAGTTCCACCGCTTCTTCCTGATTTCCTCCTCCACTGGAATCTGACTTGTTCTCTCCCACAGTTCGTTGTTGCTGATGGTGTCTGGCCAACGAATACGAAGTATTTTGCGTAGACAGCTGTTAATAAACACTTGTATCTTCTGAATGATGGCTTTGGTAGTTCTCCATGTTTCCGCTCCATACAGTAGAACTGTCTTGACATTTGTATTGAAAATCCTGATTTTGGCGTTGATTGATATTTGTTTGTAGTTCCAGATATTTTTCAACTGTAGAAATGCAGCCCTTGCTTTGCCAATCCGTGCCCTCACATCTGCATCGGATCCACCTTGGTTGTCGATGATGCTGCCCAGATATGTAGAGGTGTTAACGTCCTCCAAGGCATCTCCATCAAGAGTGATTTGGTTGGTGCATGTTGTGTTGCATCGGAGAATTTCGCTTTTTCCTTTATGTATGTTGAGACCTACTGCTGCTTCGGCCGCTGCTACACTGGTCGTCTTCTCTTGCATTTGTTGTTGAGTGCGCGATAGAAGAGCCAGGTCATCTGCGAAGTCCAGATCGTCCAGCTGCGTCCTAACTGTCCAGTTGATATCGTGCTTCCCTCCAGATGTCGACGTTTTCATAATCCAGTCGATGACCAGGAGAAAGAGAAAGGGTGAGAGTAAGCAACCTTGCCTGACACCGGTCTTCACCTCGAAAGAGTCTGTTAGCTGTCCTCCATGCACTATTTTGCAGTTGAATCAATCATAAGAATTCCGTATGATGTTAACTATTTTCTCAGGCACACCGTAGTGTCAAAGAAGCCTCCATAGCGTTTTCCTATCCACACTATCGAATGCTTTCTAGTAGTCGATGAAGTTGATCTAGAGTGGTGAGTTCCATTCAACTGATCGTTTTACAATGATCAGTAATGTTGCAATTTGGTCGGGACACGATCGATCCTTACGAAATCCAGTTTGTTGATCTCGAAGTTGGTCGTCTACGAAGTCCTTCATTCTGTTTAACAATACCCTGTTGAAGACTGCCTGGTATTGAAAGAAGAGTGATGCCTCTGTAGTCTTCACACTTGCTGAGATCGCCTTTCTTTGGTATTTTGATGAGGTATCCTTCTTTCCAATCCAATGGTACTTGTTCCTCATCCCAAATCTTCTTGAAGAGGATGTGAAATATTTTCGCAGTTGCTTCTACATCTACTTTGCCTCTGCTGGAATGTTGTCTGTTCCTGCTGCTTTGCCACTCTTGATTTGTCTGATGGCCCTACTGATCTCCTCAATCGTAGGTGCGCCAATATTAATTGGGAGGTCTGTGGATGCTGCTTCGATGTTGGGTGTGTTCAGTGGAGCTGGTCGATTCAATAGTTCCTTAAAGTGCTCTACCCACCTATTTCGCTGTTCTTCCGTGTTGCTGATTACTTTGCCTTCCTTACTTTTCACTGGTCGTTCTGGTTTACGATAGTTCCCGGCGAGCTTCTTTGTTGTTTCGTACAATTGTCTCAAGTTTCCTTCTCTGGCAGCCTTTTCCGCCGTCATTGCTAGATCTTCCACTTATTTTCGTTTGTCAGCTCTGATGCTCTTCTTTACTTCTCTGTTTGCTTCTGTGTATGCAGCTTGTGCGGTAACTTTCTCTGCTCTTGTTCGGCTGACATTGATTGTTGCCTTCTTGTTCCTCCTTTCTTCAATTTTTGCAAGAGTATCAACAGAGATCCATTCCTTGTGATGGTACTTCTTGTGACCCAGCACTTTGTGACATGTTGAAGTGATTGCCTCCTTAATCCCTTTCCAATTGTTCTCCAATGTTGCGTCCTCTCCATTGAGTAGATCCTGAAAGGCCTGGAACCTATTGGTGAGGGCTATCCTGAATTCGTTGAGCTTTACAGTATCCCGAAGAAAGGCCGTATTAAACTTTTGTGATGTTGTCTGTCCCGTTGTCCAGTGCTTCTTTAGTTTCAGTTTCATTTTGGCGATCAGAAAATGGTGATCTGAGTCTATATCAGCTCCTCTCTTGGTTCTCACATCCTCCATAGTCCTTCTGAACGTTTTGTTGATACAGATATGATCAATCTGGTTTTGAGTAGTGTGGTCCGGTGAAATCCATGTGGCTTTGTGAATGCGTTTGTGCGGGAATATTGTGCCTCTGATGACCAGTTTGTTGAAGGCACATAGGTTAGCAAATCTCTCACCATTTTCGTTTCTTTCCCCCAGTCCATGTCGTCCCATGATGTCTTCATATCCAGTGTTGTCCATTCCAACCTTGGCATTCAGGTCTCCCATAAGAATCGTCAAATCCTTTGGTGAACATTTCTCGACGATTGACTGCAGCCTTTACTAGAATTGATCTTTAACGTCGTCATTGTAGTCATTGGTAGGTGCATAACATTGGATGACGTTCATTGTAATGTCCCCTTTCTTTGTTTTGAAGGATGCTTTGATGATCCTGGGTCCATGAGATTCCCATCCTATCAGTGCCTTTTGTGCGTGTTTTAACAGCATCAGTGCAACTCCTTGTGTGTGTGAAGCATTTTCCTCTTCATGACCAGAGTATAACAGCAGTTCCCCTGAAGCTAGTCTCAGTTGTCCTACCTGTGTCCAATGTGTTTCACTGATGCCGAGCACCTCGAGGTTGTATCTTTTCATTTCTGCCGCAACTTGAAATAGTCTTGCAGTTTCCCACAATGTACGAACGTTCCATGTACCTAAAAAAATGGTTGCTCTGGTTGTGAGAAGAGGCATCAGCCCCGTGACTTCCAAGGGAACTCGGCTTTCATCACGCGACGTCATAATTCTTCCTCCAACTCCCAGGGCAGAGTGAAAATGGTTTGAATTATTTTTTCTGGTTAGCGTTTTTTTGGCAAGTTAGTTTTTGACAGAATGGGGTCGCCAACCCCATGTCCAACCCTCCTCCTTTACCCGGGCTTGGGACCGGCAGTAGCCCCGAAGGTTCTACTGGCGGAGTTAAAATTACAAACCATTGGGTGTTAACTCGGTAGTCTGAGGGTTAAGTTCTCGCCATACAACCT